GTGGCAGAGCTGGACCATCTCAGCAGAGCCCCGGAGACGCGATGCTTCTCCAAAATTTGTAACAAGCAGCGAGCTAGAACTTTCTTTTAGCATGTGAATTGCTTTTCCAGACCGGCTAAGCCAGAAATGCTTCCCCGGCCCCGAGTTCCACGTATTTGCACCTTGATGTCGACCCTCAGCAGAATTCTGGAACATGTCCTAGTTGCACAGACGTCAGTGGGAGCTTCGCGGGCTCTGATCAACCACCGTGAATTCCCGAAAGGCACCCGAGTAGACTCCAAGTTACAGCTTTGGGTGGCGTCTCCAGCCAAGGAGATTGTGTCAGTGTCACAGGATTAGGTCTCCTCCATTAGGCTGTGAACAGCTTGAGGTCAGGAAGTTCTCATGTCTTTGAATCCACTGCAATTCTTGTCACAGGATAAGGAGCCAGAGCCTGCTGGCTGGTTAATTAAAGGAGTAAATGAAGGCATGGCATTGAGGAGAGTCTCTCCTCTTTTAGAAAAAAAGGACCATGAGAAATGTGAACTGGGAAATAACGCGCGTAGGCAAATCCATAGCCTGTGAACGATCATGATTAATTAATGCATTGATGTCTACCCCAAAGGGAGAAATCCAGGTACCAGAGCCAAGCTATATGCCTTCCCACATTGTCGTCAATGAGAGGCAGGGCTGCGAGAGTGTAGGTGGCAGGGTAAGTGTCCCACCCCGTCCCCGGGTGCGCGTGGCGACGGGCACGGCGAGACAGGGCCTCCTGAGAGCCCAGCTCCTCGCCCCACACCAGCGCCCGGGCCTGAGTCTCAACGGAGCAAAGTAATGTGTGGATATTAACAGAAACATGGAAGGGTTTGCTCTCCATTTATTTGAAAGAGTCCAGGTGTGAGTTCATCACAAACTCAGGGTGAGCTAAGCACATGGCAAGGATTCTTAAAATTGGGAAAGCGATTTACAACCGGTGCGTCCCTCCAGTGTCACGTGTTCCTTATCTCAGAAGTTAAAGTAAAGGGACTTTCGGAAGCTAAACAAGACAGAGACAAGAAAGAAGAAATGAGAGAAAAGATGAAACTGTAAGGGTCTTGTCAGCAGTCTCATTTTTACTGGCCGAAACCAAACAACCTTAATGGGCTGGATTGAATTCATTCTGGCTCATGGGTCCCATGGCTCACCAGACAGCCCTTTAAAAATACATAGGGAAATAGGGCTGATGAAATGAGTTAGTGTCTTTGAAACACCACTAAAATGAGTAAAATGCCTTAGGCCACTACGACCCAGAGAAGGTGAGAGGAGCAGGACGTGGTCGGTAGGCACCCGGGAGCTAGGGGGTGTGGACTGGGCCAAACTGGCAGCTGAAAGTGGGCCTCTGGCTGGAGAGACCCAGCAGCAGGGACGGAGCCTGGCGAGGGGGGGCGGTGTGGGGCCCCGGTTCCTGCGCACACCAGCGAGCAGAGGGAGCGGAGGACAGTGGGCTGGCCGACGTGTAGACGTGAAGCCGTGAGACCCCTGACCCTGGGGGCCCCACACGGCGGGAGGAGTGCTGGACTCCAGAGGGGGAAGAAGTGAGGGGCTGCCTCCAAGACCTGAGTCACTCTGAGAGGACCACGCACAGGGAGAAGGGAAAGGACGTGCCGATGGGCCCGGGGCTGCCCGCTGGGCTCCACTCTGCAAGACCAGCTCACGCCGTCTGGCGGGAGGCTGGAAGGTGCCCCTGCGTGGAAGAGAGCCCTGCACATACGGGCACTTGGGGCCCCCCAGTGAGCTAACCGGGTTTCTGCCCAGGCACCTGCACAGAATCCCATTGGTGTGTCTTGCAGGCTCTGTCCACGGAAACACAGTTATAAGCAATCGGCCAAGGATCCCCAGAAATTGAGGAAAGGCCGCAATGTCACAGAGGCCAAGACAGAGAGAGAGAGAGAGAGAGAGAGAGAGAGAGAGAGAGAGAGAGAAAGGAACTTGCAGGAGATAGCAATGCATCAAAAAGAAAAAATAAAAACATCTTCAAAAACTATGAACGATGATGACCTCAGAGAGAAAAGAGAAGCTGTTATACCCAGGAAAGAAGACATGATACTATTTTAAAAATACATAACAGGAAGGAGCTCTTGGAAATAAAAATATACATTTTAAATATAGATGTAAATCGTAACAAATATAAAATAAAAAAAAACATAAACTTGAACAGTTCAAGAGTTGGACAGTGAAGTCTTTCAAGGAAATTTCCAAGAGTGGGGAAAGCTTTTTTTAAATTTTTTTTCCCCTTAACTAGGCAAGAATATTCTGGAAAACTTAGAACATTGATTTTGAAATCTCAGTATTCATTTGTCAGAACCCAGGGAGAGACAGAGAAAATGGGGGGGAGGTGGGGGAAGAAGTCCAAAAGGAATGATGCTGGAGCATTTGCAGGATGAGACGATTCCCAGATTGCAGAGCTCCACGGAGGCCCCGGAGCAGGGTGGAGAGCACCCGGGCCCAGGGCGCGCCAGCTCCAGGGGCCAGAGAGGGTCCTCAGAGCTGCGGAGGGGAAGCAGGCCACACGGAGAAGACGGAGCCCGCACCTGCTTTGAAAGGTGGTGGTAGAAGGGTGGAGAGTATATGAGGATGCTTGTTGGTCTTTTTCCATTAGGCAATTGGGCCCAACGGAATCGCAACAGTCTCGGATTTTCAAGGCCTCCTCGATTGCCCGCACAGCCATCCTGCCTCGGAACACTGACGGAGACTGTGCCCCCCTCTAACGAGGAAGTCTGTTTTTTTTTTTAAAATGCAGGGGAGGGGATCCCTGGTGGCTCAGCAGTTGAGCTCCTGCCATCACCCCAGGGCACGACCCTGGAGACCTGGGATCGAGTCCCACGTCGGGCTCCCTGCAGGGAGCCTGCTTCTCTCTCTGCCTGTGTCTCTGCCTCTCTCTCTCTCTCTGGGTCTCATGAATAAATAAATAAATAAATAAAAATATTTATTAAAAAAAAGCACAGGGGATCCGGGAAACGAGGGAGAAAAACAGCCAAGTCACAGAAAAGTTGTTTCCAGGAAGCCCCAAAAGAAAGTTGGAAAACCAATCACATAACCAAGTTCAGAGACATCAACACGATCCAGACACGTAGACATTTAACATCGCAGCGGGAGAGAAGATTCCTGTTCTCTGGAATTATATCTATCATAACACCGCCCGTAGAACGAGATAGGGTTCATTTAACCCCGTGCCGTGATTTCTGGAAAGATCCAGGAGGAACCGTGTGTGCGTGCGTTTCCGTGTGTGCGCACACGGGTGTGTCCCAGGGAGCTAATGTCTCATGTTCCGGAGCGGAAAGCCGGGATCTAATACGGGGAAGTCAAAAAAACAGCAGAATAAGTTTATTATTTTTAAAAACAAGAGTAAACGTCAAGAGAGAAAGAGTTTGAGGCGGTTCCTCTGGGGTGGCGTCCGAGGACCAGGAGCTGCTGGTTAGACCCCGAGCCATGTGGAGGGACGTGACTTTTCCTTCTGTTCATGTTTTGCATGAAATATATTACAGGTCGTACCGGTGCAGGAGGTGGTTCTGAATATTGTAGCAGAAGGATGGAAAGTATAGGAGGATGCTTGTTTGCCTTTTTTTGTTTTGTTTTGTTTTGTTTTTGTAGAAGTATATGACTTTGAAAAAAAAAGGTAAAGCCTGGAAAAATATATGCCGACTGTTAGTAGTTAGAATCCGAGTGTTGACCAAGCGATTTCTTCTTTCTCTGGTTATGTGACTTTTAAATGCAAATTTATTTTGCGGTACGTACGTTATCACTGAGAAAAACTTAAAAGGTTTTTTTTATGCACATACACGTGCACACGGAGGATGTTTGAGGCTCAGTCCAGAAGGAGGATTTGCCCCCCGTGGGAGCGGGGTGGGTGGCCGGTGGGGTCTGAGTTCCGACCCCGGGGAGCACCCGGGCCGAGGAGACGCGGTGGGGGGCGGGCTCGTGGGCAGCCGCCTGGGACCAGCAGCGCCGGTTTGGACTCTAGGCTGCGGCTCGGCGTGGGCTCCCCGAGGGCAGGGAGCGGCGTACTTGCACACACTCTGCACGCGGGGGTGGGTCGATGTCCATCGGCCAGAACTGCCAGAGGCTGCAACAAGGAGGAGGACACGCAGCCTTTGAGAGGCAGAGCGGGAGTCGGGACCAGCCCTGCCCACGGCCCTACCCACCCAGCCCAGCCTCTGCTCGACCCTCACGTCTGCCCCGCCCCACAGCAGCCCTTCTGCACCGTGACTCTGTCGTTGGTACAAGTCGTTGGTGGGTTTCTGCGTGGGCGGGACTCTGCATCCCGTCAGCGGGCACCATGAGCCCCGCGGGGACCCACATCCCTGTCACCTGGCCGGTGGACGATTACTGGGCCAGGCTGCTGTGCAACGGCGGACATGGGGCGGCAAGCCGAGCCAGGGCCCTCACCCTCTCCCTCTGCGTGGCCACAACTCACGGAGGCCCTTGACCAAGTTTCCAGAAGGAATAGTTCTCTTTTGCATTTATTTTTTTTGACATTTTACTTATTTATTCATGAGAGACCCAGAGAGAGAGAGGCAGAGACACAGGCAGAGAAAGAAGCAGGCTCCCTGCAGGGAGCCCAATGCAGGACTCGATCCCAGGACCCCGGGGTCACGCCCTGAGCCGAAGGCAGATGCTTAACCGCTGAGCCACCAGGTGTCCCCATATTCTGTGTTTACCAAAGGGCTGAGGGGTCCCCACTGTGATGTTTATGCTGAGGGCTAGTTACCAAGTCCCCTGAGTGGCTGGAGTCCCTTGGGCAGAGTGCAGCACCCCTGCTCGGGGGGGGGGGGTCTTAGGGTGTCTGTGAGCATCCTTGGGCCCCCTCAGGGCCACACAGCAAGTGGCCCCACCAGGGCATCCGCCGCCCGGCCTGGGACCCCAGAAAGGAGCCCAGCGGTGTGCCTGGAGCAGCAGGTGGCTGGGGCCAGCCTCTCCGCGCGTGCATGCCCCTCGCCACAGGGCCGCCCCGACACTAACGTGGACTCCTCTGTGCTCCTCAGGTATCTCTGGGCTCACAGATTGACCTGCAGAAAAAGAAGAGGCGGGCGCCGGCCCCCCCGACGCCGCAGCCCCCAACGTCCAGCCCTCTGGTGCCACCTCGCACTCAGGACAGGGAGGAAAACAGGAAGAGCGCCACGGGTGAGTGCGCCGTGTTGCCGTCTGCACGCCTCTGAGCCCTGCCTTGCGTGGAGTGGTAGCACCGCTGTTAACTCCTGCAGCCGCCTCGCGGGGCCGTTCGCTCGGGCAGCATGTGCACTAAGGAAAGAAAGTCTGGAAATAAACACTTGCGGGCTCCCTCGGTATCTTACAGGCATCTTTCCCGGGCATCGTGTAGGCAGGTCGCTGGGGAGGGGCTGAGGGTGGTGAGGGTAGAGGATTGCTGAGGATGGTCAGGAGGGGGTGAGTGGCTCTGGACCACCGGACGGGTGAGCGTGAGTGTGCACGTGTGCGTGTGTGCACGTGGGAGTCTCCTGATGGAAGGATGCATGGTCTTAGGATGACCTCCCTGGAGGCTGTTTTGAAAGACCTCTTGTCCCCAGGAGATCTAGAAGTCAGTCAACAGCAGTTGCATAATGTCTTGACTGCCCCGTTGGAGTCGACCTCCAACACCCTGATATTCTGGGGGAATAATGAAGCAAAAGGAAAGAGGATGGAATCGTGAGACCCGTGAGCAGGAAAACCTATTAGATCTTGAGATGCCACCTCCTGGTGTCGCAGGTGGTGGACAGAGAAGTGGCAGGGGGTCTCTAGCTCCACAAGCCGGGGACGGTTAGTTTAATTTTAAGACCCTCCAGTGTTTGTTGTTCCATTTGTGTGGGAACAGCAGTGGAGCAGAGGTTGCCTGAGGTTGCAGGTGCATCAGCTCATGACAGAGGCCATCCGAGGGCTGGGCCCCGGGCCACCTACTCCACTGGGCACCCTCACCTTTTGCCCTTGACGCCATGGCTGTGGCCCCCAAAAGGAAGACTCCCAGGAATAAGCACTTGCATTGTCAGCGTCTGAGAGTCTAATAACGAGCTAGTTGGCTGTTGGTCGGCTTTTGTCCCCTAATCGACACCTCCCTGTTGGCCCGCGTTTCATGCCAGTTGATCCCCTTTACCAGGGAAATACGCCCAGATTTCCAGAACACACAGTCAGCAGCTGCTCAGAATAAACCTAGTCATCTCCTCTGCGGTGATGAGACCCCGGCTCTCCCGAGCTCTCGCCCGCTCTCGTGGTAAAGGGGTGGCAGGCCTCGGAGCCTTCTCCTCTAATGGTTCTTCCGGGGCCCGAATAGACGATGCTCATCCAGACTGCCCGAGGCCCCTTTGCGCTCTGAGAGTTAACAGATGATGTCCGGCCATGGGGACATCGGTATCTTCCCACGTCTACAAAACCTTAATCAAGAGAAGGAATACGTGGGTATGTCTCTCAATGAAGAAATTATTTGTTAATTTTTTTTATTGATAATCTGATGACGGGCATGAAGCACAGAACCTATGAGTTACTGCACGACTCTAAACATAAAAGCCTGAAGAAGGCGTTTTTGAAAGAAATACTGGGAAGGATGACTTAAGACCCAAGTGATTTATGTGGCTTTGTTGTATGAAGTCATTGACCTTCAAAAATCTTATTAGCAGAAGATAATCATTTTCATATAAAATGGCAGGTGGGTGCCCCGCGTGTCAGCAGAGCACCGAGGGCTGCCCCAAGGTTCCAGAGGGTGGATGGAGCAGGACACCGCCCTTAACTCTTTCTCCAAGAGTTAAATGGGCTTAAGGAGGCCAGCTCAATTAGTGGCCACAGGAGATAGTAGATGAAGTAACAAGACGAAGCTAAAAATATATATAAATAAATCCTAATCAAAAGTCATGGGTATAAAAGGAGTTCCTCTTAACGGGACAGAGCCACTGAGGGGGTTTTTTAAGAATGATTTCAAGCCTGGTGTTTGCGAGTAGGTGTGCCTGCCAGAAACAAACTGCAAACGCGTAGATATTTTCAAATTGGCCCAAGGAGAGGACGCGGTGTGTGTAAAATGTTCAAGTGTGAGTGAGGTGGGATTTGGTGTCATGAGGTGGGATTTGGTGTCGTAAGGTGGGATTTGGTGTCCTGAGGTGGGATTTGGTGTCGTGAGGTGGGATTTGATGCCTGGTGAGCTTGAATGTGGGGCTGGGCATGGCTGGGTCTGTCGGCAGGTGTGGTTGACTTCCGTGTGCAGCGAGGCCGACACTGGTACCAGGTGTGGTTGCCTTTGGTGCCATGAGGCTGGATTTGGTGCCTAGTGAGTGTGAATTCGGTACCAAGCATGGCTGGATTTGACACTGGGTGTGGCTGGATTCTGTGGTAGGTGTGGTTGAATTTGATGCGTAGTGAGGGTGACTTTGGGGACTGAGTGCCGTTGGATCTGGTACCCAGTGTGGTCAGACCTGGCGCCGGGTGTGGCTGGATTTGGTGCCATGAGACTGGATTCGGTGCTGGGTGTGGTTGGATTTGGTGCCACGAGATTGTTTTTGATGCCCGGGTGATGAAGGCCACGTGCCTCCCACTGGAGGGCGGAGAGTCTTTGGGCTTAACCTTCTGAAGTAACCCCCGTTGATTCCATGTAGGTGTTGGACGGCAGGTGCCACAAAAGCCTCCCAGAGGCACTGGCCGGGGGCCCCCCCAGCTAGTGCTCCCCCCACCCCCGCCCTACCCTCCTCCTGACACAGACGAAGCAGAGCCTCTCGGCTTTCCCGGGGAGAGTGCTGGCTCCGAGGCCTTGGACCCAAGACCCACACGTACGTGACTCTCGTTTTCTTTCCCATACGTGTTGACCGCCCATCTCTCTGGTCACTGGTGTCAAGGCGGGGTTTCCAGACTTTCCATTCTTGCCTTTGGGGGAGGGGGGTGTCTGTGACTTCCCTCTCCAGCCTTTCTTTCTAAATGCTCAACGCAGTGTGTCCGACTTAACAGTGAATGCGCCCGGAGGGCCATGCAGGGGCCTGGAAAGAGTGACTTAACCCATTAATCCTTCGCTCTGCGGTCAGACCCCTGCCAGCATCACCCGGCGTGGGTGGAGACCATCAGTCAGGGGCTGCTAACCGCAGTGTCCGCAGGGGGCAAGAGCCCACGCCATCTGGCTCAGCAATTACTACCAGGCAGTAGTAGCGGTTCCCCGCAGAAAGGGAAACTGAGGCAGCAGAAGGGGAAATAGCTTGAGTTCATGTAGCAGTGGCCAGAATTAAGAGTCCTGTTTTCTGCTTCTTGTCGCACCCTGGCTGAGACAAGGCTGCGTCTCCGATGTCTCCTGAGGTTGCTTCGGACGTTACTAAGTACCGTGTATAGCACTCCTGTCTCCCCCGGGGGGGGGGGGGTTCCATCCTTAGCGTATATATTCCGATGGCGCCACAGGCACGTGACCCTGTGCTCACCCTTGAGGCGGCTCAGCGTGGCGGCGATGCTTCCCTATAAAGAGGCACGTTCTCGATACAGCGGCATGCCACTCTGTGCCCCATCCCAGGAGCCGCAAGGGCCACCGGGGGTGCAGCCTCAGGTGGGGGGCTCACGCTTCTCTGCTGTCGCACCCCTGGGAGGCTTTCATCCCCTTTGGGAGGGCTGACTAGCTCGCCGCTGGCTTCTGGGTAAAGAAGGCAACCGCCAACTGCGTCCTCTGCCTCTGCCTCTGGGGGCTGCCTCTGCGGTCACCCCGACTCGGGCCTCGGGCCTGACAAATGCTGCCTCTCTGTCCTTTTCCGTCCAAATCCATGCGATCATCTTGACGTCGGGCGCCCTCCTGGAAGCGAACGAGGTCTACGGGGATTGAAAGTGAAGGATTGGACATGAGGGTCGGGAAGGTGACCGCCCAGGCGTCGACAGCCCCGGCTGCTCCATCGCGGCAGAGGGGCTCCAGCCCCCGTGCCAAGCCCGCGAGCCTCAGGGGCGCCGTGGCCGCGTCCTCCCTGGGGGACCCAGTGAGGGAGGAGGAACCGAGGGAAATCAGCAGTCGGGGGGAAAAGTCCCAAGGCCGGGAGGTCGAGGCACCTTCCCGGGGTGGGGCGGCCAGGCCTCGCACACCTGCCCGCACCTGAACTGATGCCAACTCACAGGTCCCCGCTCTCTCCCGCCCCCCCCACCCCGGGCCTGGGGGGCACCATCGGCGTGTGGTGTGTGCTGGGGAGACTGGCAGGCAAGATTTGGGAGGGCGACTTCCAAAGGCTCCCCCCGCGGTATCTACGTGGCTGTGAAATCACTTCCCGGCCCTGCGCCTTCAGAGAACGGAACCAGGAACAGACACAGACTTCTTGCCTCGTGACTCTGCCCCCATGACCCCAGGCCTGGGCCCGGGGTGCTCTCCCCATGGGCTCCTTGTCCCAGATACGTGTCACCAGACTCCCCTTGGCCCTCTGGTCATAATTCCCTCTCCTTCTCTCCCCTTCTCCCCCCTTCTCCATCCCTCTCGTGTGCGCACAAATGCCAGCAGAGTGAAGAGGAGCAAGAAGAATTTGGGGGGGCTGTGAGGTAGCAGCACCACTCTGTGCAGCTAGCTGGAGCTCCACCAACGCTCCTCCTCCTCCTCCTCCTCCTCCCTCCTTCCCTCCCTCCTCCTCCAGGCTCCTGGCTCCCAGCTGCTCCCGCACCTGAGCTTGATGCATCCAACTCAGAGCTTTTCTTTTACCAAATGGGCAGGACTTTCATGACCATTTTCTGCAGCATTTAAAACAGGGATCTCCCGGCCAGCCAGGCAGAGAGCGACCTGCCTTCTTTGACTCAGGACTTCAGAGCAGTGAAGGAAAACAAATCCTCTGTTGTCACCTGTGTCATTGTCCCACGAGGTGTTGGAATCAGGGGACGCCTTGCGCCTGTCTCACGGGAGCTACAGGCTGCTGGCACGTGGAGGTTGGGTGTGAAGCCAGGCCCCTTCCTGGCACATACGTCTCACCTGCTCTTCCAAGTCAGACCTGCGGCTTTTTGTAGCTGCCTGGAAGGCTGCTCAGCGGAGCTCCTATGCCAGCCACCAGCTCTCGGACGTCTCCTGAGTTCGGTGTTAGGCCTGTGTTCCTTAGAAAAGAGGTGCTGTGCTCCTGGTGGAGACTGACCCCCAGGACCTGCGAGGGCCGGGCGGTCCCCAAGGTGTCTCCCACGTGCCCTCTCGCTCAGTCCCCACTGCAGCTCAGGGTGGAGGTTCTCTCCCTGGGAGAAACTGAGTCAAAAAGACGTAGGTCGCTGACCCGGGGTCTTACCAGGGTTTAGGTAGGGCAGGAGTTCTCCGGAGGGTATCTCGTCCCGCTGTCTCTGTGCTGTCCTCCTCCCTACAGTTTTCCCCACCATGCCAGAAACTCCCACGAGGACGTCTTTGGCTGTGCATACTCCTTGTTAGTTCTGCAACAGATGGTATAGTCCAGCCAGGTTGTTAAAAAGGGGGAAAAAAGTACATTTTGTTGAAAACCGTGAGCTCGGCCAACCTCACAGAGGAAAAGGATGAAAGAGCTGATAGATGCTGCTCTGTACACAGATGGAGGGAGATGCAAGAAGAGGAGAAGTGGGTCTAACGCAGCACCACCCTCCATAACCCATAATCCCTGGAATTTCCTGATCTGGCCTGACCCCGATCTCCATAGGATCTCAGTACAGCCCCCGTCCTCGTGCTTTGCCGGCAAACCCCCCTTTGCTGCTGCCAACGTTCCCTTCCACTGCCAGCCTCCCCTGGCTGACCGCAGGCTGGTACTGTGGGGAATCTGGGTGCCCTGTGCACCACATCCAGACACCGGAATTTTCAGAGGAGCAAGACAGACCATCTCTTCTAGTGGTTTCACGGGGAACATTTCCCAGGTGCCCCCAACTGCGTTTTCTGTTATGTCTCATCGACCACAGTTGGGTAAGACACTGCCCCAGTCTTTGGTGAGAATGGAATCACCCAAGGTGATGGAGGCCCATCCCGACAGCTGGGGACAGGGTCAGCTTCTCTGGTGTGTGGAAGTCACTGATCAACGCCGGAGCTCTGTGACCTGGAAGTGTCGGGGATGCGTGCTGTGTAAACAGCCCACAGTGTCCACTACACTGGGGTTGCAACCCAGTTGCCATGTGGAGCATGTAGGGCATGTTGTGAGTGGGTGCAGAGAGAGGACCGTGTGCCAGTGGCGAGACGAAGTGGCCACAACACAGCCTTTGCCAAGTCAGCGGGTGGCCAGTGTGAGGCGCGGGTGCCCAGAGCTCTAGGCCGTGCTCTTGGCCGTCTCCCGAGGCAGAATCAGGCTGCCTGTCCCCGGGTCCTGCTGTCAGCTCTTCCTGGCAGCTGTGGCCGGGATGGCCTGTGGAGTGTGAGACGGTCTATGCCTATTACACACATAGGAGGAAAATGTCTAAGCTGTGTCATGTCTCAGCCTCATGGCCCAGAAGTCACCGTGAGTACAATTATAGTAACAGTGCAGTGGTGCTTCCCGGGGCTGTGTTATGCAATCGTGTGTTTCGTGTGAGTAAGCTTTCCTACTAACCTTTCCACATCTAATCATGTAAGTGCTTCAGGGGTATGTCTGAGCCAGTGTAATTGTGCACGTGGATTTTTTTCTCCCCCTGTGTCTTTCTAACAAGCTTGCTTTCTGATGACATTGGATTTTAGTGGAAGCTTTGTTGTGAGTGATGATGATGGAGCCTAGGCCATGAGCTGCATTGACTTGTGTGTTCGCAAGATTTGCAGAGCTGGTTTTGATTGGGCTGTTAACAAGGCATCTGTTACATAATTCCAGTGAGAAGACCCTGGAGATTTAAAGATCAATGCATAGAGAATTCAAATTACAGATCCTCGATGTGCTTTGTATTTTTAAAATTAAACCATTCAATGACTGTCCTTCTATTAGACGTTTTCCTATAATAGGTTTGAGTAAATCAGTCTTCCCTTGGCTATCCATCGCTGCGTAGTTGGCAAAGGATTTTAAAGCCATGCAGGAAAAAAAATGGGTCACTGTCCCCTGATCTAAATGACCTGTCAAGTCAAAGCACCACTGGTGACACCGTAGTGGTTTCTAGGAGGTTGGTTGTGATTAAGTATCCCGTCTAATGGCTTTTAAGGAAAGTCTAAGACAGGGAAATAAAATGCGAGAAATCAGCTAGCCATTTTCAATTAGAAATAGTAATTTGAGTTTGCTTCATGTAAAAATCCCTAATAATAATAATTCATATGTTAGGCCGTGTGACTCAGCAGAAGAACTGAGAATCTAGGAGTACGTTGGGCACAGTTCAGTGGTTTACTGGCAAATGGCTGTAATCAAATCCCCACACTCCAGGCCAGATGCTCACTAAAGGCTCTGGCTCTGTGATCAGCCGTGAGCTCGCCTGAGCACAGAGCATAAAGCAGGAGAAGAGAGGCAAGAGTTTTGCTGATGCCCCTCAGTTGAGACCTGTCCTCTTTTTAAAGTCACCTATCATCGTAGTCTAAAATCTGAACCAAAATTAAACCCTTGGCATGTCTCAAAACAAAGCAGTTAATCTTCAAGCTTGTGACACAAAGACAATTCTGGGAGTCTTGCTCATGGTGGAAGCACCCTTGAAGCCTTGCAGGTGTGTGGACTTCACAGCAAGCCCAGGGAAGCACTCCTGCCCTTGTCGGGTGTTTGTTTGCTGCTTTCCTTCCCGGGGCCAGAGAGCCAGCCACACAGCCGCTCCCACTGCCATGGGAAAGGGCGAGCATCCAGGAAAACAGGAAGTGGGTAGTGAGCAAATAGAAGGAAACTGGTGACTGTGAGAGCAGAGCCTGTCCCTCCTCAGAAGTGCATTGGGAAAAAAAAAAAGTGCATTGGATCTT